TATGAAGAAGTTTACTTACTAGAATTTAACATTTATTTTTCCAATTTTGATTGCCAGATGCTCACATAATTCTAATGATCATTAGAAACCTGAGAATATAGCGTGTCACTTCATTGTCCTGAATTTGCCAAAGCTCAGCAAAGGAACAGCACACCATAGTTGTTATATTATTCTATACTTCTACTGATAGAACTACTGTGACCAGCAGCAATATTAATGCCATATTGTGTTTCTGCAGCTAGGACCAGTTTTTTTCTTCATTACTATCAGGTGCAATCTTTTTTTTTTTTTTTTTTGCTTGAGATTTCCTCCTTATCAAGTGTTGCAATTTCTTATATTCATAGGATCTCTGATTTTGCAATCCTTCCTTGGTTACTGTATTATTTTCCATTGTTTATCTTAACTCCATAATTCTTCTAGTCATTGTTTTTTTTTTAAGCACAATTCTGGTAATTCTTCTTTTACTTTTCCTTCAATTTGCTTCTTAGTCCTCTTAACCTAAAACGTAGACATCCCGTTATACTTTTCCTTACTATCTTCTTATAGGTACGCTATAATTTGTAATTACAGCTAATTCTAGGAAAAATAAACCAAAATGTTATGTATAATACATTGACATTATTTTTGTATTATTATGGTTAATCTTCAGTTCAATTCCCCATCTGGGACTGATAAAAATTTAACAGTGCAAGCCCTAACCAAGGACGTAAGAGTTGTTAAGGTAGTGTCTGAGTATATAGTTCTGAGTAAGGTGGTTTTTTGTAAAGTCAAGATATTCAGGTCTAATAAGTTCAAAATGTCCATGTATCTAGGCAGCCCTTTGGGTATTGCTCTTAGGACTTCTATTACTATTGGTACAACCATTGATTTCTTCCTCCATTATCACTCAATTTCAATTTGCAAATTATTATTATTATACTGAAATGTTTTACATACCAAGCGCTGTTAATAAAAAGAGGAAAGTAGATACTCCTGCTGTGCCATAGAACATTATGCTGATATTGTGTCCCATAAGATCCAGGTCATTATGTGTGTTTGGAACTAAAACTGGAGGCAGTAAAAAGCCAATTGCTGTGCCTAGCTATTAAAATAAAAAGAAAATTGTGTTATAATATACCTGAAAAGATAGGAAATTTATTAGACTAGGATAAGGCCAATCTAGCCAACACTGTATCATACAAAAGTCTAAAATGCATTCAAATGCACAATCATAAACAGTAAGGCCTTGATTCACTGTTTCTCCCCAGGAGCTTCTATTTAAATTCTCACATCTAAGCCTCTGGGAGTGGTAGGTATGTGCAACCATTAAAAATTAAAGATATGAACAGATCAACTCTCCCCAACCTAATTCCCCATTAAAACAACCTAGATTTGCAACCATCACCATATCTAATTATGCATTACATGACATGTTTTCTTTTTTTTTTTTATTGAAAATTTTTGAAAGTTTTACAAATATACAACCAAAAACAAATCAACCCTCACCCCATCCCTCCCAAGCCCACCCCACCCTCCCCCCTCCCCGAACTTCCCAGAACTGAATATAGGCTTATCTAAAATTTTAAAATATCTAAACAAATTTTACATCTTATAATAATAAAATATATGTAAGCATTAATAAAAAAAATACTTAAAAAAAAGAAAGAAAGGAAAGAGAGAGAAAGAAAGAAAAAGAAAAAAAAGATAAAAAAGAAAAAAACAAAAGACGGAAAAAGAAAAGAAAAAACAATCTATACAAGTTATGAGAAAGCTAAATGATATTTTTCCATATCCAAATTATATTGTATAAAATTTATCCATTTTTCCCATACAACAAAAAATTTCTCTTGAGATTGCTCCTTTAAGAAAGCCGAAATCTTTGCCATTTCTGCAAATAAGATGACATGTTTTCTTTAGCATTTTTGTTTTATAATGAGTGACCAACAGTTCTGACACTGAGAGGAAGAAAATTTTATTGCCCACATTTTCCATCATACATGTTTTACATCTTTTTACAAACCTTCTTTCTCTGCCTTTAAGAAAAAAAGCTTTAAATATTGTGGTATCATCTAACAGAAAAATTAATATAATCATCTAATCATTTGAGTTACTCCTTTTCCAGTTTTATGATACACAGCATAGTCACATTATAAAAGAATTATTATCCTTCTTATTCATTTCTAGAACACAGTATTATAGAGGTACCTCATTGAACTATCCCAGAGACTGATTTGCACATTTCAACATGAAAATTGTCTGTTTTCTCTGCTTCCTTATCTTATAACCAATAACCAGTTCTTGAAAAGTTGAATACTCTTAATACTCCTACGGTATGGCGGTTAAAGTTGTTCAGGAGTGTTTGGTAAAGGACTGCATGAAAGGTTTTTTTGAAATCCAAACATATTTTCTGTTGGATTTCTATCAGCACACTTGGTGATACTTAGTAACAGTATTAGTAAGTACATCAACCTGAAAGTTTCTATCACAAGCAAAGAAAATGGAAAAAAAACCATTGCTTTTTCATCAGGAAGTCAACAATTAGTAATAGTTCTAATATTTAAATGATGTGATTTTTCTGGATTAAGGAACTATATTTAGAATGCACAAATGTTACAATACTTTTTATAATCATATTTTCCTAACTGTTAATTGTCTGAATATTGAAATATCAAAACTCTGGCAGAAAATATTTTCTTTTAAATATGCTCATATTTCTAGATTATTAGTTCTGTAATTATTAGAAGGCTATAACTGAAGAAGAGAACTTAGATTATAATGCCTTACTGACATCACAGCACCAGACAGAAGATACAAGTCTAATTAGCAAGGATTTGAATTAAATATATGAAAGCTAATTAGTCAATTGTAAATGCCCTTGGTTATTCCAGAGTAAATTGCTTCAATCATCAATGCCAACACAGTTGTGTGTGATCAGTGCTCATCTATTAAGAATGGAAGCAAATTTTTTTTCTTAAATCCAAATGTAGTTAATTTTTCTCACCAAAGTTATCCATTAACATCCCTATCTCGTGCATCTCTTCCAGCAAATTTTCTTTCTCCACTCACCTGATTGCCCAGAACAGCTACAGCACAAGCAGTGGACACTTCCTTGGGCCCAAACCAAACAGATGCAATGCGGGAGGGCAACCCCAAAATGAAGACCTGGGCTATGGAACACACAATCTGAGCCAGCAGAGTGACCAGATAGAGATTTGGCTGGATGCTGGCACATTTAATCCAGGCCCCCAAACAATTCAGTCCTGATCCCAGCAAGGCAGTGAAACGGAGGCCACTCGTGTCCAGAAACCAAGTGGCAGGAAATATGAGAGGAACGTATGTCACCATATATGACATGGAGAGCCAGTCAATTTCAGAAGAAGTAACATTATAGTAGCCAGTGAAGACACTGGTCAATATACTGTACTGGATCCACTGGAAGGCATTTACTAGCGAATAGCAGCTGAACACGGCCAGCACCAGAATCCTGCGTTTGGAAAGCCGAGGGATCAGCTTCACCCCCACGGTACAGTCAGACAGCATAGCTTCTGCCTCTGGATACTTCTCGAGATCAGCCAAGGAAGCGGCGCTTCTTCCAAACTCCACATCCTTCTCCGTTACCAAAGGCGTGCAGCTGCCGTTGTTGGCCGGCTCTTTGCCGGCCAGGTATCCATTGCACTGGAGGGCAGGCGCCGTGACTTCCTCCCCAACCTCGCCGCTGGCCTCGCTGCTTCCCCCTGGCTCGGCCACCTCCGTTCCCTCCCCACCCATTCTCGCTGCCTGACCCGAGGCCTTCGCCCCGCCCAAGCCTACCTGTCGGCGGACCTCTGCTAGGAACCTCTCAGTTTACCGCAAGCAGAAGCGCTACACGCGCTCCCCCCTTTCTTTCCGCCTCCCCAGGCAAGTGTGCATGCGGCCACTTCCAGCCTGCCTTCTCAGGTGCTGGCCAAGCGCTTCCCGCCCGGCCTTCGCTGCGGGGATGCTTCGCTTGCTCTCCTCTGCGCGCCTCGCCTTTAGCTCTCACTTCTCATCTCTGCCTCCAACTCCAAGACTGGCTGAGCTCCGGCCTCGTTTCCTCCAACCCGGCCTCGTCCTCCGCCCCCCTCACCCGCCAACGGTCATCCCAGAAACTCCAGGCAGAGATTGAATAAAGACTGCATCTCCGTTCAAGCGCCTCGAATCAGCGAAGATGTGTTGCCGGCTTTCGCATGCGCACATAGTTTCCTCTTTGATCGGGAGACGGTCCAAGGAAAGGTTCTAAGCCAATGAGGGGACGGAGAGGTATTTGCGCTACCGCCGGCTCCGCCAATCCTGGAGAAATGAGGCGGGGCTGGGTCCTGCGCCAAAACGCTCCCTGGTTTCCCGGCCCCGGTTAAGGACCCGGGGTGAGTGCGGTGCGTCTGGTTCTCCCTGCGGCCACGTGGAAAGGGTTGGCGTGGCAGTTGGTCGGGGTTCTCGTTTTGGGAGACTCACCTTTCACAGATTGCTGCATCGTGCTTCTAATCCTCAGACGGAACTCGTGGGGTATTAGGGGAGGGGACGGCAGGAGTAGCCATATATGCGCCTCTCGTTCGTAGCAGCCTTCCGAAATTTCGATGGCGGATTGCTCTTAAAAAAAGGTTCCTAAACTGCTTCTGGAAAATTAAGAGGAGGGTAGTTGGACTGGGGAAAGACTGATGGAGATCCACACCCGGTTTTCTCCACGTTACGGTTAGACCTCGGCTTTTCTTGCCTCATATAAAAACAGCTGTTTCTTGCAGCCACCTTCCCCAATTTATCATAGGAAAATTGCTGGACTACAATTTCTAGCAATCTAAACCGGATCAGGGTATTGCAGACACTGAGAGGGAATGTCCAATTTATAGAGACGGCACGCCACAGAAGAGCATCTGAGAGATACTAACACGTCTGGACTGGAATGCTCCAGGTTGAGAAAACGCTTATCGGGTTGGGAATCATTTTTAGGGGCTGATAAACAGTTTTATAGCCTTCAGTAGAGACAATGGGGTAAGAAGGAATTGATAGTGAATGGGTTCTTGCACCTCTCTGAGCTTTGTTGCTTTCTGCAGACGTTTCATTACCTGGCTAGGTAACATCATTGTTAAGGAGAAGGGTTTGCTGGCTGAGCTCAGAGAGCACCACAAACCCCACAGTCTCTTCTGTCAGTGTTTATATGTAGACATACATATTGGCCATCAATTAACCTAATGCAAATGTCTTATGATCTATTGATACAGACCACCACTAATGTATGGAATCACCTTTACTAGGTTAAAGAATTGCAACTACTTAAGGCATTTTTGCACTTTGACATTAAAGTACTAGCCATCAGTTCTTGAAATGGCAGAAAACTTATAAGTTCCAGTCTGATTTGCTGATCCCAAAACTATAGCAAACTCCTCCATTTTGCTTTCCTGCCAGCTAGGGTGTATGTTGTGTATAGAGTAAAGTAATTGGTTAAAGTCCTTGGCTATATTGCCCTCGCACTTTCTAAATATAACCACCAACAGGAACACTGCGGAGGGCAGAGATGCAATTATATGCAGGTTTTCACACATGCTGATTCACCTCTCTGTTACTTTGTGGGTCAAAACAGGACTTGTGCAAAGATAGAGCAGAAGTGGTAAAAATAAGGCAGGAAAGCTGCCTATCTCAAAACTCAGCAGCTCCCCATTTCCCTATTGTTAGCAGTATTGCAGGACCTGCATGATAAGTGGGAAAGCTTTGCTTGTGTGGCTCCCCCAGCCTAACCAAAAGCTGTTTGGCAGACTGTAGGGAGCTTTGAGGTGCAGCCACAGCTGGTTGTTTTGTTAGCTCACCTTATCTGGAGCAAAACAAGTGTGGTAAAGAAGTGGGTGCACTACTTAGGAAAAAGATGTGCCAATAGGAGTGGATTGATCCCCTTCCCCAAAGCTCAATTGAGAATATTCTATAAACTGATCTGCTGTGGATTTCTGCTAGTTTTGCTTTGTTTTGTTTTGGGGGGGACACTTATTTAAAACCAGAACAACTGACAAGTTTATTTCAGTCATGAGCTAAGAATGAGATAAAGGCAGTATCACAGGGACATAGCTGAATAAAGATTTTGCCAGGACATATTCATTTCTTGGCTAGTTGCAAATGATCTCCCTGATGTTATTTCATTTGTCTGCTGAAGTTTCCTGTCTTTGTGTCTTGTGATATCATATGATAGGTTATTTGCAATGTATAATTCAGCTTACCAACAATTGATTAAAATAGTTAGTTCCCTGTGTACTGGTTTAGCTGTGATTTGAATTGCCAGTTGCCAAGCACTTCTGGAATCTTCTAAGGTTCTTAGTTGAGAGTGGCCATTTCTCAACAGTATTAAAACTTGGGAACTTCATTTCAGCAAAAATCACAGTTCTGCAGAGCATAGGTACGTGTCGGTGAGCATGTGGATTAGAAAGATCAAAGAATCACTGTTTATTTGGATTTCAAAAGGCTAATGATGTCTTTCATCAAAGACTTCTAAGCAAACTTCCTCTTTTGTTAAAGAACAAAAGTCTGAAAGTAAAAAAATGTTATTTCAATGGATAGAACTATACAAATAGTGGGAGCCGAGTGGGCCAATGTACAATATGTTAAATTACTAATTAGTGAGCTGAAGTTAGTATGAGGCTTGAGCTCTAGAGTAATGAGGACCAATAAAAAGTTCTTCAGCAGTTTTAACACTTTAATGTAAATAGTTTAAGTGGTTAAACTATTAAATGCAGTGCTGCCAGGTGTATAAAAGACACTGGCTTATACTTTAAAAACACAGTAGACAGATTCATGAAGGACTATTACTGTAATGGCTAGTAGTCTTGATGCTAATATGAGTTGCTAGGGGAGGCACCAGTAATTACAGTGTTTCTAACTTACAGTTGAAGTTATCAGTAGTTTCAATCAATATTAGAGTAAACAAGCTGCAATAGTGTTGCCCATAAAACCGGAAGCAACAAGGGTATGTGATAATAATCTTGAGAGACCAGGAGGAAGAGCCCCCAACAAGGATCAGTTAACAAAACAAGTCCGAAGGAAGAGATGTGGTGAAAGCATTTCTAGTTTTCTGGAGAGTGAAAGGGAGGGATTCTTTGAGACTTGCAAGATTGATACTAGCCTCGCAAGGTATCCAAACAAGAAGCACAAAGAGTTGTACTGGTTCTACCTTTATTGTGAAGTTAACAGAATCTTGTGAGTTTGAAAGTACTTCCATCCCTAAAGGGGGCATTAGTTACTTCTCCTGGCATGTCTAGGCAGAAACCATGTTTTTTAGTTCTTTACTTTTCAAGTTCTTTGTACTTTTGAAAAATAATAGCCTATAGTTCTGGAGATGGCAACCTCAGATACAAAATAGGAGCTTAAAATTACACAAATATTTTTAAGCCATTGGATTTATATTATAAAATGGTATCTCACAACTTCTGAAGTTGAGGATGAGGGGTTTGCACCCATTGTATTAGAAATGCCCCTCTGAACTTTATAATATAATCAATTATATTTTAAATTAATGTCTGATCATTTTCCTATAGTCCTTCAATATGTTGGAGTATGAAAGACTATTAAAGAGCTTTTATTATAATTTGCTCATGTAAAAAATTACAGTGGTGTGAATTCTCTTTTGCAAGAGGGAAAAAACAGATTTATCATGTTTATTCCTTGACCAGGAAAAAGGTCAGGAGTTGCATTTCCAGGTTTATAATCAAAATCTCATAACTGTCAATGTCTCTAGAAATAAAGCAGTAGTCTATACAATATATATTCCAGATCAGATTACTTTCACTCACTTTTTTCCAACAATTTTCAAAGAAAAAATGAATTACGTTGTTGACAGCCATCTGTCTAAATATGCCTTTATTTGACAAGACAGGAAAAGAGGTAGTCTACACCCTTCAGAATATTTTCCAAACAGGGTACATGTCCCCTAAATTACCAACATCCTCTAAAGGAACCTTTAGAGCATTGCAGCATTTATCACTCTTAAGCGACTATCCTGAAAAGTGAACTCTGGAGAAATTTTATAAGTAGTAGAAATACCAACTGGAACACGGACTTTTCAGCTGATGTTCTGCAGAACTACAGTTGTACTTATTCCTAGCACTGTAAATCTGTCTAATGAACAGGATGTGTAAGTAAGAATCTACTAATAGGAAAAACTGAACACAAGAGGAAGGGGAAAGATCTTAACATGAGAAGTCACATCAGAGTATGCAGAAGAAAGGGGAGATTTGAAAAGGGCCACCAGGATACCTGCATGAAGAAAATATTCATAACCACAGATTGGGGGCAAGGGATGAAAGAGTGGTATATAGATTTAAAAACTGCAGATGAACTATATATGATTCTTTCTACCCTGAAGAATTCCAAAGGGATCTTGCTAACCAAGCACGTGTAGGTAGAATTGAAAAAGTGCTAAAAAAAAATAGGGTAGAGGAAATGTGGGCCAATTCTAGTCAAATGAATTGGCTGCCCAGATAATTTCAATAGCTGATTTAAGAGGATTAGTGCAGCATCTTTGATGTAATGGGGTTTTATATTACCCTATTCCCACAATATTTTTGTGGTATCATCCAAAACCAAACTTTTACTATTCAATTAATGGGTATCCTGATCTTCTAGATCTTGGGAAGTAGAACTACCATCTCCTGATCTTGTTTCTATTTATGTCTAACTTTTTAATGGTTTTTGAAGAATGTTTTAATGTATTTTTGCACACTATGCAGTCATGTTTCTGAGATAGGTGGCCATATATATTTGATAAATAAACAAATACCCATCCAACTGAAGCACATGAACATCTTCCCTACAAGAAAGGATTTGGGACATCTTAGCTTGGAAAATAGGCAACAGAGTCAGGAAGTTCTTGAGAGGTATAAAACCATGCATGATGAATAAAATGAACTTTTGTTCCTCTCTCACATAATGATGATGTTGGGTCATCCAATGAAGCTGACTATGGGGAGATTCAAAACAGTAAAAAGAATGTGCTTTTGGGAGGCAAAGCACATTCTTTAACTGAGGAATTAATTACCACAAAAACCTGGTAATATTTGTTACATTAGATGGCTTTAGCAACAAATTGGATAAATACATTCAGGACAGATCTGTCAAAGGCTATTGGGTTTGAAAATCCAAGACCAGTTGAGGGTGATATTGATATTATATCTCCATCTTCTCAAAGGCATCTAGTTGGTTACTATGAAAAAGAACATGCAGGACTAAAATCAGCTTTGGCCTCATCCGGTAGGGCCATTGTAGTGTCCTAATGTTGTTAGAAGTGGATTTCAGGATGATTAGTATGTGAATTGTCCGCATTGGAAAATAATATTTTTCTCCTCAGAGATCAGCTGCATCATCTTTTCTAGCAAGTATAAAGCAAGCTTCATTTCTATAAGAACAGATCAGTATTGCCTGTTTTCAGTGATAAAAAGTATTAAGCAAATGAGGCCTCCTGAGTTTTTTGTATTATGTGCATTTTGTTTTTAAAAACAGGAATTTGTGTCACAGTAACTAGAAGAAGCACATTTCACTATCATGGCTGAAGATGAGAAAAGGCAGTTGCTTGAATATAATCAGATGAGGGAATCGAGATGCTTGCTAGAAGGAAGGAGTGAAACTTCGTGGCTCAGGCCCCAGAAAAAGCATTTTCCTCAAAGTAATCAGGCTTCAGCAGAGAACTACAAAGAAGAAAAACAGGAGTATGACAGTGGCAGGACATCCTGGATAAAAATAACTCCTCCTCATCATAAAGAAAGAAGGCATTTTCCTGAAAAAAGTAAGTTTGCATATATTGCACTTCAAATATTGAACTTCACAAATCTATAATTTCTTCTTAAAATTAAGAGGAAGAATTCAGTTGTGAGTCCATCTATTGCTGCAAACTGAAAAAATTTTATCGGTGCAGATATTTTAGTGTATTGTGTGTGTTCTTATGTATGTTTGTATGTATGTACTTACATTACTTCTGCTTTTGTTGTTAAGCAAATCAGCATGGGTCGTTAAGTGAGATATCACATGATCACAACTTGCAATTTTACTGCTGACTTCTCCATTTATTCTGCTTGTTTGGAAGCTGGTTATGAAGCACATAAATGTCAGTCATGTAACCAGGGGGAAAACTGATGGCCATAAATGTGAGGATTGGTTGCAACACCTTTTTTTCCAAATGTAACTTTGAACAGTTGCTAAACAAGGAAGTTGGTAAGCGAGGATTACCTATATGTACAGTACATACAATCAAACCCAGGTGTATGTTAAGTATCTTGAGACAGCTCTCTGAAAAGCATTTTCTAAAGATCATATACTTTCCCCGTTTCACTGAAAGGCTAAGATCTCTAGGTATAGATATCCTTTTTCTTCTAAAAACAATCAGAAAACATTTTAAATTATACTTCCTTTTTCTTCCCAACTGATGTTTTGGTGAGAATACAGGGAGATTAAAGATAACATTAGACCTAATGAAGCTCTGTAAACAAATTCCAGGTTGATTGCATGATTAAAAGCTTCCTCCCCAAATGCTTGTAACATACATTAATGTTTCTATTGTTTCTCTGGTTGAAAGGAAAAAATAAGGGCAAATTATCTTCTCCAGTTATTGCCTTGGAGTTCTTGCAACATAAATGGCATATACAAGTTTATAATCCTTGCATCTTGACCATTTATCTGCAGTTTGCCCCAGCAGATGTGTCAGAAAACATGTTCTCTGGGTAGAGAACTATATATGATTTAATAAATAAATTTGGATGTAGAAACATATAATTTAAGGATACATAGAGGTCTCTCCATATTAGTGTCAACTTAATAGGATCTAACAGGCACTGTTCTCTATCACACCTGCCCCTGGTTATCTCCTAAGGTCCACATGACCCCAATCCCTCAGCTTTCAAGAATGCCTTAAAACTTTGACACCTCTAATGATTGATCCAGAGTTATTCAGGGAGGTCTGAATTGGGCCTTGAATCTGGCTCTCCTGGTCTAAACATTATATTACACTGATTTTCACACATTAAAACTATAACAAAAGAACCAATTCAGCTTTTCAAGGGTCAGTATTATATGTTATTCTGCCAATGAATTAGTCAGTATCATTGTTATTGCATGTGCTCCAAAATATTATTCAGTGATGGGGAAATAATATTCATGCTCTCTTCTTTCATTATTTATTTATTTATTTATTTATTTATTAAATTTATTGGCTGCCCAGTTACAATGCTCGCCCAATATAACTTAATATATCTTGTAATCAAGCAAACAGGTGGCGCAGCAGTTAGAGTGCAGTACTGCAGGCCACTTTAGCTGTCTGTGTTCAGCAGGTCAGTGGTTCAAATCTCACCGGCTCAAGGTTGACTCAGACTTCCATCCTTCCGGGGTAGGTAAAATGAGGACCCAGATTGTTGGGGGCAATGTATATATATATATATATATATATATATATATATATATATATATATATATATATATATTAAAAATTACATTAAAAATTGAAGAATAGCGATTCCTGGGTACATACATTTCAGTAAAAAAGGAAGCGATCACCAGGAAATAAAACACCAAGGTTTTAATAAATAAAATCAAGCTTTCGATGGCTAACATCTGCCATCATCGTCAGGATACAAGCCAGTCAGTGAGGAAACCTGCTTATAAGCATAGCCACACCTAAACTCTACGCATGGACCTTGTAACAGGTCCAAGCCAACTAATCCTTACTTTACTTACAGCCTTCAGTGATTCTTTCTTTTAGCTCTTACTTACATCCACCTAGCTTTCAATGGCTAGCACCTGCCATCATTGTCAGAATACAAGCTAGCTAGTGAGGAAACCTGCTTACAAGCATAGCCACGCCTAAACTCTACGCATGGACCTTGTAACAGGTCCAGGCCGACTAATCCTTGCTTCACTTACAGCCTTCAGTGATTCTTTCTTATAGCTCTTACTTACATCCACACAACCACCCACTTCCTCCCTCCCTTTAGTTCCTGAGTCATATAGGCAATGTGTGTTTCTCAAAATTGAAGGGTCCTCTGCACTATTGAATTGATTCTTCTTTCTGTGTTCCTTGGGACGTTTCTCTCCTCCACTCCTCCGGCACGCATCGCACTCATTTGCATTCTTCAATCCTGTCACTCCTTCAGTCCCCCCACAATCCTTGCCACCAATCTCATCCACAATTTTATTTCCCCCCACTGTTCCCAGCATATCGCATCCTCCATGCTCCTCCTTCATGCCACCAGGTGCGACTCTCAATCCGGTTGCCTCTCTTTCAGTCTTCTGTAACGCCGCTCTCCGGGAGCGCGTGACCACCCCCATAATGGGGCGGCTGTAAGTATTGATCTTCTGTACATCCATTGAAGGCATGTCTCTGTCTCGGTGGCTCTGATCAGTGTGGCCGCCTAGCAAAGGTGTTATTCTGCCATCACTCATGGTAGGTGTTGCCTTTTTTGAATTCCTATCCATTTCCAAGGCGCCAGCGACCAGATGCGTTGTAGCGGGGGCACCACTGGGGACAATGGAGCCGATATAGTCACTGGGGTAGTGAATTTGTTTTGTGTTGATTGGGACACTTGTTGTTCTTATTCTTGAGTATTGGGTACAGTGCAAGGAGGTGTCTGGGGCATCTGAGGATGGGCTACTAATATCAACAAATTTCTTAATTGACGGCGGATGTACACACGAATCGTTAACTAAAGGGGGTCTAGATTGTAGATGTCTCTCTTCTTTGTTGCCAGTTTCATCTAATGGACACCCAGAGTTTTTGTTACTCAGATGTTTTTTCCCAGGTCGTCTACACATTTCCCATGCCTTCATGGTCTGATATGCCGGGCGTAGGTCCACATGTCGATTGATTGACATGCTGTCTGAGAACCAGGCTTCTTTGAGTAACCTACCTACCACTCTTGGAGGTGTCACTGGCAACCACCCTTACGTCGTCAAAATTAAATTTATGACCAAACTCCTCCATGTGAGTCAGTATTTGGGAGTACTGCTCACCTCTTCTTATTGCCAGCTTGTGTTCCTGCATTCTTGTTCTGACCCTTTTGGAAGTTTCTCCCACATAATTGCCTGGACAGTCATTACAGTTAATCCTGTAAATGACTCCAGATCTCTCAACTATGGGGAGTGGGTCCTTTGGTCTCATAATGCAGGAACGCAACGTCCGGTCAGGTCTATGTGCAACCCTTACACCATAGGGTGCCAATAGTCTGGTGGTGGCTTCCGAGACGTTGCTAATGTAAGGGAGGGTAGATACGAGTCGTCTGTGATGGTGCCATCCCACTTGATGGATTTTGGGATGGTTTGGACAGAGTACTGTGGCGTCTGATGAATTTCATGGGGTACCCATTGTACCTACAGAGACGGAGGAGATGTTTTCTTTCCTCCATCCTAGCTTCGGCTGTACTGCAGTGGGAGTCCACCCTCTTGAAGAGGGTTCTAATGCAGCTGACTTTGTGGGCCACCGGGTGATTGCTGTTGTAGTGCAAAATTCTATCGGTGTGCGTGGGTTACAAGGTCCATGCGTAGAGTTTAGGCGTGGCTATGCTTGTAAGCAGGTTTCCTCACTAGCTAGCTTGTATTCTGACAATGATGGCAGGTGCTAGCCATTGAAAGCTAGGTGGATGTAAGTAAGAGCTAAAAGAAAGAATCACTGAAGGCTGTAAGTAAAGTAAGGATTAGTTGGCTTGGACCTGTTACAAGGTCCATGCGTAGAGTTTAGGTGTGGCTATGCTTATAAGCAGGTTTCCTCACTGACTGGCTTGTATCCTGACAATGATGGCAGATGTTAGCCATCGAAAGCTTGATTTTATTTATTAAAACCTTGGTGTTTTACTTCCTGGTGATCGCTTTCCTTTTTTACTGAAATATATATATATATATATATATATATATATATATATATATATATATATATATATATATATACATACATACATACATACATACATACATACATACATACATACATACATACATACATTGCTTACTGGTGTACACCGCTTAGAGAGTGCTTGCACTTAAAACAGTATATAAGTCTCATAAATAAATAAATAAATAAATAAATAAATAAATAAATATTCTATTTTACTGAGTACTCTTTGGGCTTAATCATCAACTTTTTTGTAAAACAAATACTGATGTTGAATGTATAATAGAAAAATAAACTACTACATTATCCCTATTCAGTTTAGTTTAGAACACTATGAAGAAACCCAGTTCTTTTTTTACTAGCCATAATTTTATGTTGCTTGCTTGATAATTACACAATTCATTTTTATGATCAGAGGAAATCCTGCTGAAGTAGCTTTTCCCTTTCAAATGCTTCAAGGGTGATTTTATAGTCTTGCAATAATTTTTATTCAATTACTTTCAGAGAAAGATATTTTAAAAAATATGAATGGTACCCATTACATTTTATCTCTTTGAGGAAGCATAGGATTTCTTTAAAAAAAGTCTTAAGATTTTTTACCTAAAATAAATGCTGAAGTAGAATATGGGAATTTATGAATTACCCTCCTGGATCCTTTCAGTTCAGCATCCTGTGAGCCAGGAAATCCATTTAGTTTTTTGGCCTGATTTAACCTTACCACCTGAGCATTTCAGGAATCCACGTTCAAAACTGTTCAGTGAAATATAGAAGCCCAGAAAATGTGCAAGTAAAATGGCCAAGAATCCTCAGTAAACACTGTCCTCTAATTAAGCTTTGTTCTTTTCTCTGAACGGTTGTTCAGTGCAATGTAATTAAGGTGCTGGAATAGGACCGGGGGGGGGGGGAACCCAAGATCACATCTCCTGGCAGTCTTAGAAGCTCATTAGATGACCTTTAGACAGCCACTCCCTCTAAGACCAGCTTATCTCACAAAGCTATCATTGTAGAGAAAATGGAGAAGAAACTGCTTACGCATTCTGCCTATGCTTCTAAAACTGTAATAGCTAGTTTAGTATAGCAGTTAAGGCATTAGTCTAGAAACTGGGAGACTGTGAGTTCCAGTCCCACCATGGGCATGAAGCCAGCTGGGTAACCTATGGCCAGTCAATTTCTCTCAGCCCTATGAAGGAGGCAGAGGCAAACCACTTCTTTAAAATCTTGTCAAGAAAACAGCAAGGATTTGTCCAGGCAGTCTCTGAGAACTGGACATGATTGAACAGAAGGGAAAAAAAACTTTACAGGAAATGGGATAAAAATCAAAAGAAGTATTATTAAGGTTAGTTGCATGTAGCCAGATGTTTAGGCTGATTTGGCATTTTTATCCACCTATCAAGTCCTTCCCAAGGATCTGGGATAAGCAGATGTGTTGTTTGATGGTGTTAAAGGTATTGTTCCAAGATGTAAACTTCTTCCAAAAAAACCACAAAAACCTGCCTTTTGCAATTTTGTTAATGCCAATGATGTTCGAGTGGTGCTCCAGATGTTTTGGGATTGTAACCATGATGTCTTATTACTATTGGTATTATCTTTGCTTTCTTTTGCCATCATCACTGTATTTTGTGATTTTCTCCAGTTCTTCCTCTTCTCTTCTGCTGTCTTCATATACTGCCACCTCCACTATCCAAACTTTTTTGCCTTTCTTATCAAAAATTGCTAAGTCTGAGGAATTATATGGCAGGTATATTGTTTGTTTGTTTGAATTCTAAAGTCTCAGATCACTTTAGCATCATCATCTTCTATTGCTTTGTCTATTTTTGGTCCCGCCACTTCTTATGGGCAAGCTAATGGTATTTCTTGCAGATATTCCAATGCATCATTTTTGGTACTTTGTGATGCCATTATCTGTATCATTATTTTTTCAAAAAACAGTAAGAAAAGAGAGTACTGAGCCTCCGTCCCAGTTAGCAGAAAAAAGAAGCACCCAGGTTCCTTGGAAATAAACTCTCTGACTAGAATATTTCTATTTAAAGACATGAAATCAACAGTAAATAATCTGCATCTATGTATTCTTCTGAGATGGATGGCTATATATACTTGATAATGTTTCTGTGTACCAATAAAGGAGAATATTTGTAACTCAGGGTTGAAATGAGGAGTCCTTGATGGTCTTTGAGTTTGTTTTCTTGCAGACATTTCATTGCAGTCTAGCACTGATGATGTTACCTAGTTTGGGTAATGAAATCTCTGCAATAAAACAACCAAGCTCAGAGAGCACCAAGGATCCTTGTTGTGTGTACTCCAACATACATACATATGTACATATATACATATGAGTATGTAAGCGCTGTGTTATTATTTTTTCTCCTTGGCAACATCTTTCAGAACAGACAAATAAAAGTGCAGTCGTTTCATATAAGTGATTCTAACTGGCAGATTTATTCTGAACTAATTACAATGTGCAGGGTGTTTCAAAAGTTACTTCATAGCCTAAAAGTAACCCTAACAAGACACTATAAGATCATTGCGGGTTATTTATCACACATTGTCCCATTAATACCAAATCATTCCCTGGCAGAGTGAATTGGATTGTTCTGATATGAAACAGACATCATAGATGGTTTCAGAAGTGTTGTATAACTTGTGTTTATACACATTTCAACTACTATGACATGCTGTAAGATTATTGTATTGTTAACTAATGATAATAAAAATGCTATATAACCGGGTGATTCTGTTTTTCATTTGTATTTATTTTATCTTTCAGACAATGCAATTTTTGGATGAGAGATCTTATTAGAAGCAGTTTCTCTGCTGGATTACTGAAGTTGTGTGCATTTTACCTAATTGAAAAAACAAGTGTGTTGTCTGTGTGTGTACGCATATATACATACATACACAAATATTCATTTTTGAGAATGAACTTAGCTACAAGATTATTGTTGATTTTTAAAATGGATTTGCATGGATTATACAAAATAAAACATAATATGATGAAATAAATGTCTTAGTTTCAGAATTATTTTTTCAGTATTTCCCATAATAATCATATGAGGCTGGACAGTATCATTACACAACACTGGTTTTCTCCAGGTTACTGGAACATACGTTAAAAATTGGAGTCACAGATTAGTTCTCAATTTAATGTATTATTGTGTTACACTATACAAGGCTGTTCACATGATAATCTTCCCAAGTTTCCTTAAGGGCTATCTGCCCTAGTTGCTACCATGCCTGAACAGGATAATTTTTGACAGCTGAACTTTTTTTTAAAAAAAAGTCTGCTTACACTTACATTTTTTCTATTCACTTGAGGTAAAATGAAAGAAGTGAATGGTAGCATTTTTTTTAAAAAAATCACATTTCTACTAGGTTTTATTCTCTTCTGTGCTACATAAAGTTGGGGAATTGTGCTTTTTCTGCACTGATGAAAGATATAGAAATCAAAAGAGCTACCAAAATTTTATTTTAATTTTAAAGCTGGTAGTGGTGCTTGCATATAATGTCTATATAAATTTTATTTTAGTTTGTATAGATGTATGTTTTTGTACATTTGTGTGTGTGTGTGTATTTCTCACAAAATATGTACATGCACTAAGACCTGTCAGCAATAAGGTCATTGTTTTCCTGGTAGAAAAAGATGGGAAGGTAGAGCAACAGGAAAATTGTCCAATGGGAAAACACTATAGCATTTAGTCCTGAGTAACTTGCAAGCTTGCTAAGGTGTCTCAGTCTGGATAAGTTTTTCTTTTTAATTAGTTTGAAGCCCAGCTGCCACAAGCAGAGGGTAAAAGCAGTTTAAGCAATAAGTTCAGATTTGTCCTTTATCAGATGGAAAGTAGCACAGGTGTCTCAAATCCCAGTTATGGGGGATAAACACACAGGGAGCAGAAGAAATGATCAGGCTGCTAAATCAAGCCACAAAGTAGGGTCATGGTTGATGGTGAAGACTCAAAGGGTTTCTGGGAGGAGAAACTTCAGACCTTGCATTCCACTTATAAGCTCACCAATTCTTGTGGCTAAAACAAGACAGGGTAGAGAGTCAGAGTAAAGCCCCATTTCCTGCCTCCCATTCTCCCAATATTTTCACCAGAGGACATCTGCAATCCAGTTCACATTTTTTCAAAAACCTAATTATTTGAGCTTACTCTGTCCTCGCCAAGCACAACTAATATTCAACTAATATACATTTCAGTGTAATGTAAAAAATACTTTTGTATTTTTAGAGGTATGTAAGCCATTTAGCCTCAAGAAAAACTTTTCAACTGCATTGAAACAAGTTCAAAGACTTTTCTGGACAGGAATCACATTCCTTTCAAGCCAAAAACAGCCCTTTGAAGATAAAGTTCCTTCTGATGATTTAAAAACTTCTGATATTGTGACAGCAAAATGTTTCCAGCCTCTCAGATAAATTCCACTAAATGCTTACTTCTATACTGACCATCTTGGTCTTGTACATCAGTCTTTTTTTAAAAGTTTTTTATTTATAAAACAGTTAAAACAAAGATGGACAACGTAACATTCCAGTGTATATATTCCTAACAATTTGTTCCTCATCATACATATAATTCTTAATCTCTATATATACATATTTTTCTATACAATACAGTCTCTAATTTGTTTCTCTATATACTAACATACAGTTTTATATATCTCTATCTTAACACTAACTTAAAACCCGAACAGTTCTCCTTGATTCACACCAACAATAGAATTTGTCCCAGATTTCAAAGTAATCTGACTCTGTCTTGTTCTTCATTTTCATTGTGAGCCTATCCATATTAGCACACGATAGGATTTTATATAAAATCTCTTCTTCTGTTGGAATTTCTTTATTCCTCCAATTTTGTGCATACGCCAATCTAGCAGCCGTGAGAATATATAGCATCAAGTAAAGTATCCCTTTGTTGTATTTCTGTGTAGTTATGCCTAGTAGGCAGAGTTCTGGTTTTAGCTCTACCTCTATCATTAGTATTTCTTCCAGCCATTTTTTAACCTTGTTCCAAAAGTCATGGGCTTTTGAGCACTCCCACCACATGTGGTAATATGTCCCTCTTGCCAATTTGCATTTCCAGCACGTGGAAGAGATATTTGGACCCATTTTAGCTAATCTTGTGGGTGGGAGATGCCATCTGTAGAACATTTTGTAGAGGTTTTCTTTGTAGGAGGTGGCCAAAGTAAGCTTCCTATTTCGTACCCATAGTTCTTGCCAGATACGCAGATCAAAGAGATCAAAATCCCTGCTCCACGTTCACATGATTTCTTTTACCTGTTCTTCATACATTCCCTGATCTAACAAATAATGATATAGCTTTTTAATTATTTTATCCTTAGTACCTAGTAGTATTTTATCCAGCCCTATTGGTTCTATTTTTATGCCTAACTCTTTTTTATCTTTCCAATATCTCGCCTGTAATTGAAGGTATGTCCACCATTCTAGTTCTATCCCTTTGTCTTGAAGAATTTTCCTGGGTTTCAATTCCCCTTTCTCCTCTAGTACGTTTTTATATGTTATAATCTTCCCTAATTGGATAAATTTTGGATGTACATGCATTTCTAACAATGAGATCCAGCCAAGGACTTGAGTATGGTTTGGTTGCCAGGTTTTAACCCATACATCAATTAAAGCTCGTGTGTCTTATATTTCTGGTCCCATAGCATAGCATGCCATCCTATTTGTAAATCATGACCTTCCAGACATAATAATCTCCTGTTCTTCAAAGGTATCCAATCCCGCATCCATAATAGTACTATGGCATGATAGTATTTTTCCAGGTCAGGGAGGCCAGGTTTCCCCCCCCCTTCATTTGAATCCTGCAGTAATTTTAATTTAATCCTTGCTTTTTTTCCTTGCCAAATAAATTTGAGTATAGTTTTGTTAAAGTTTTGAAAAAAATTCTTATCCAATTTTATGGGTATACATTGGTAGCACAATGTATACCCATAAATTTAGTTTTATACAAAACTAAAATTTTTGGTAGCACATTCATTTTGATTACAGCTATTCTGCCCATAAAGGAGAGCTGTAGGTTGGTCCAAGTAGCTAAATCAGTTTTAATCTGTTCAATTAGTTTATCATAATTGTCTCTCTTGAGTGTAACGCATCTAGCAGTTAGTTGTATCCCTAAATATCTTATTTTATTCGTAATTTGAATACCTATTCTGTCAACCAATTCATTTTTCTGTATTTTAGTCGTATTCTTGACAAGCATTTTAGTTTTTTCTTTATCTTTAGACCTGCTATTTCCCCATATTTACTCAATACTTCTATCAATCTTGTCCCTGATTGTAATGGCTCTTCAATTATAAAAACTAAATCGTCTGCAAAAGCTTGCGTTTTAAACGTTTCTTTCTTGATCTCTAAACCTTTGATCTGTTCATCTTTCTGAATTATTCTGATTAATACCTCTAGGGATAGTATAAACAACAATAGCAATAATTGACAACCTTGCCTTGTACCTTTTTGAATTGGAAAGCTATCGGTCATTTCTCCATTAATTATTACTTTTGCTGCCTGATTAAAATAAACTGATTTAAACATATTTATAAAATTTTCCCCAAAGTCCATATACAACAATTGATTGAGCATAAAATCCCAGTTCACATTGTCAAATGCTTTTTGTGCATCAAGGAAAATTAAACCCATTTGCTTTTCATTGTGTACCTCATAATACTCCAATATATCCAAAACAATCCTGACATTGTTTCTTATGTATCTTTTAGATAAAAAGCCATTTTGATCAGAATGTATAAAATCTGCTAGGAATCTTTCAAGTCTTTGCGCCATTATGGCCATAAAAATCTTATAGTCCGAATTTAAAAATGAAATGGGTCTATAGTTTTTAATATGTGCCAGGTCTGCGTTTTCCTTAGCAATCAGAGTGAGGAGAATTTCCCATAAGGCTGGTATTTTAGCTTTTGTTAAGACCTCGTTAAATAGTTCCAACAGTATTGGGCTTAAAGATTCTTGTATAATTTTATACATTTCTGCAGGTAGACCATCTGGCCCAGGTGCTTTGTTATTTTTTTGTTTCTTAATTGCCTCTGAAAGTTCTAAAGGTGTTGTCTCTTTGTTCAACAGAGTTTTAAATTCTTCTGACACTTTCAGTAGGTCAGTTGTTTGTAAATACTGTACAATGTCATCATTATTTCTCCATTCATCATCTTTACTCATATGCCACAAATTTCTTTCCTTCATTCTGGTACACCATATCACCTTCTGCATTACAAAGTTTGGTAATCCTCTGTTTATTATTATGTTTTTTAATTTTATAGGCCAGCCATCTCCCCGGTTTATTGGCACTTTCAAAAAAAAATTGTTTAGTACGTTGTATCTGCTGTCCTAGTCCTTCCTTCCCAATGATGTTCATCTTATGTTTAATTAGGTCTATCTATTGTTTCAAATCACGTCTTTGTGGTTCCTTTTGTAAATTTTCCTCAACTTTAGTTAGTTCTTCTTCTAAGTGTCTTTGTCGTTGTTTTAATTTTGTTTTCCCTGGCCATATAAGAAATTGCAGCGCCTCTCATATAAGCTTTGGCTGTATCCCATAAGTTTTGGCAGTTCGTATCTTCCTTTTTGTTTGTCTTAAAAAACAGGTCCATTTGTTCTTCCAATTTCAGTTTAAATTCTTTATGTTTTAAGATTGCCCTTTTCAAGGTCCATCTCCTCATTCTTTTTTGCCCTTTCCATCTAATTCTAATTGGATTATGGCCAGCCCAGGAATTTGTATCGATTACAATATCCTCTACTTCTAAATTTAAGTCTGCTGACATCCACACCATATCAGTTCTGGACCATGATGTCCAGAGTAGAATGTAAACTGTTTTTTCTCTAAATTCCTCTCTCTCCAAGTATCCTGAATATTAAGCTCATCTACCATTTTTAGGAATGTATCAGGTATTGTTCCTCTGGTTCTTTTTCTACTCTTTCCACATTTATAGTCTAGGTGTCTTATCCACAATTGCATTATAGTCTCCCATTATACAAATGTTATCATATTCCA